ATTGCTTGATCTAAAACAATTAGAGAAAATTGGGAACCATTTCTTGGAAGTTCTTTTGAAGATGAAACATAATGGTGCAATTGATAAGACAAGAGCAGGGTTTACAGCCCTTTGCAATCGTCTTCTCTGTTCAAATGATCCAATGTGAGTTTCCTCTTTGCCATCGTCTTTTAACTGTTAACCTAGGATTAAATTTCGCCATGTTGGAGTCAGGGTGAAACAAAAACTTATGCATCTGCATACTCTTGTTATTTCATTTTTGTTTCCAGAAAAAAAAATATGAAAAGAAAAGAGGGGTAGAGAGAAACGCGGTATGTTTATTCAAGTGTTCTAAAGTTTTATACTTGGTTACTTAAGCCTTTTCTTAGAAAAAACCTGCATTGGATATTTTACTAATCCAATACTGGAACTTTATTTGTAAGATAAAAAATATATGTTGCATCCATTTAATGGATCCTTTGTTTCTCAGGCTTTGTAAGCTGACAGAATCTTGGATGGAGCAGCTTATGGAGAGAACAGTAGCAAAAGGACAAACTGTTGATGATTTACTACGAAGAAGTGCAGGTATACCTGCAGCATTCATTGCTCTTTTCCTTGCAGAACCAGAAGGTGCTCCAAAGAAGCTCCTCCTGCGAGCACTTAGGTGGCTTATTGATGTAGCAAAGGGGTCTTTGTTGCGTCAACCTGAAACCAATTCCACAAATATCTCGTGCCAGAGTTCCTCAACAAAGTCTGGCCAAGAGACCAATTCAGCATTGGTAACTGAGACGATTGCAACTGAAAAAACCTCGAAGATCAGAGATGAAGGTGTTGTTCCTACAGTGCATGCCTTTAATGCCCTTAGAGTTGCTTTCAATGACACTAACCTTGCTTCTGACACTTCTGGTTTTGCGGCTGAGGCTTTGATTGTTTCAATTCGCTCTTTCTCTTCACCGTACTGGGAGGTTCGTAACAGTGCTTGTCTTGCATATACTTCCTTGGTACGTCGGATGATTGGATTCCTTAATGTTCATAAACGAGAATCTGCTCGACGAGCGGTAACTGGGCTTGAATTTTTTCATAGGTAAAAGTTCTTTCATGAACTGTCTCTTTCGTTTTGTGAACTCATACTTGGATAACCCTGTAAGGCTACTATAAAGTTTAAAAATTGGGTATTTTGGATGGTCAAAATGTATTTTACCCTTAAGTCGCATGCTATTTGTGCATGAAAGCTACAATATTTTCTCCACTAACTATTGATTAAATCTAATCTTGAAGGTATCCTTTGCTGCATCCATTCGTGTTCAACGAACTGAAAATTGCAACTGAATTGCTTGGTGATGCATTATCGGGACAATCTGAATCTAACCTGGCAAAGGTTGTGCATCCAAGTTTGTGCCCTATGCTTATTCTTTTATCCAGGGTCAAGCCTTCAACAATTGCGAGTGAGACGGGGGATGACCTGGATCCTTTCCTCTTCATGCCTTTCATTATGAGGTGCTCAACCCAAAGCAATCTGCGAGTTCGTATTCTTGCATCACGAGCTTTGACTGGACTTGTTTCTAATGAGAAATTGTCAGCCGTTCTCCTTAATATTGCTTCGGAGTTGCCACATTCAGAGAACAAAACCACATCTGCAGCATCAATCTCATTATATTCTGTCAATGGAGCTTACCGTGTTTCCTTCAATTTGATTCATGGACTTCTATTGCAATTAGGTTCTCTTGTCAATATAAACTGTAGAAATCTTGCTGATTTCTCCAGTAAAGATCAGATTCTTGGTGAGTTGATGGAAGTTCTTGCAAAGTGTTCGTGGGTTGCCAGCCCCAAAAGATGCCCTTGCCCCGTCCTCAATTGCGCTTTCCTGCAAGTGTTGGATTACATGCTTAGTGTTGCGAGATCATGTCATAAGAGCAAAAATTTGTTTGCCATCCGAAACCTACTTTTGGAATTATCTACAGAATGCTTAGATGTAGAAGCTTCTTACGGGCTTCCATATTATGATCCAACAATAGCTGAACTTCGTCAACAGGCGGCTTTATCTTATTTTAGTAGTTTATTTCAACCATCTGATGAGGTTGACGAAGTGATTTTCCAGATTCCACAAAGATCTTCACTGAATTCAACATCGTTTCAAATCCATGAAGTAGAGAATTCTGGATTCCTGGAAAGGTTGATTCGTTCTTTCTCAGATTCATCGTATGAGGTTCGACGAATAACTTTGAAGTGGCTGCAGAAGTTCCTGAAGTCTCGACCTGACAGTGAGCTAAACTATCTGTCGAACAGTGAGATCAGAATTATACAGAGGTGGACAAAAGCTAACCTTCAGCCTACACTGATGAAGCTTTTGGAACAGGAGAAGAATCATCGATGTACATACCAAATTCTGAGGATTATTTTCACTTGGAACTTGCTGAAGTTTCAGGAATTAAGCGAAGGAAAGAGTGACGGAACCCTTTACGTTGGTGTGATGGATTGCAATTCCGTATTTCAGTTTTGGGATAAGCTGATGACTTTGTACAAGCTCACCCGACATACTAAAACACAAGAAATACTTGTCTGTTGTCTGGCAATATGCGTAAAGCAGTTAATAAGGCTATTTGGTGGTTTTATTCGTAATGATAAGATGCTGAAAGCTGCTGAATATAATGAATCTGGTGAGATAGAAAGATCAGCTTGCTTCTATGAATGCATCACCTTTTATGTCAATCTAATTAAGCAGAATAGTTGTTCATCCGAGCCAGTGAACAAGCGCCGGGCAGCAGCAGAATCTGTGTTTGCATCTGGCTTATTGGAACAGGCTGAGGTAATTGCTTCTTTTGTGATCAGCCAGCAAATCTCTTCAAAAGATCCGGTGTCTTGTTTAGAACAGCAAGATGCTGTAAATATCTATGCACAGCAAATACTGGAGATGTGGTTCACCTGTATCAAACTGCTCGAGGATGAAGATGATGGAATTAGACAAAGGGTTGCTTCCGACATCCAAAAGTGTCTTTCCTCTAAAAGCTCTGGAACTATGGCCGACACTTGTGGGGCTCCAACACAGGTGGAAATGGTAATTGAACTGAGTTTCAAACATCTTTCTTCCATCTTTGGCCACTGGATGGTATACTTCGACTGTCTTCTGCGGTGGGTGCTAGATGAGGGAAATTACGTAATATCCAAAGGTGATCTCATGAGACGGGTTTTCGACAAGGAAATTGATAATCACCATGAAGAGAAGCTGTTGATTAGTCAAATATGTTGTTCCCACTTGGAGAAGCTTCCGATCACAGAATTGTGGACAGGTGAATTGCTCGATAAAGAAGAGGTCATGAATTATATACTTAATTGGAGAACTAGATTTTTCGACCAGTTGGAATCATTTGCCAAGGACCATATTGGAAAACTCGGAGTTGACTGGATAGGTGGTGTAGGTAACCATAAGGATGCATTTTTACCCTTGTATGCAAATTTGCTCGGGATTTATGTCCTCTCAAACTTCATTTTCAACCTGGAGGCCAAAGATATGCAACTACTATCGGATGTTGCTGAATTAGGAAAAGGTATCGGTCCATTTCTTCGGAATCCATTGATCTCTAACCTGTATTTGTTAATAGTTCGATTACATGAGAACAATCTTGGTGCAACTACCAACTGTGTTAACACCAGGATTGGGGATGGCATCTGGGACGATTTTGATCCAAACTTTCTTCTTGTGGAATAGTGATAGAACAAGGTCTTAAGAACACTTTTTTGGGAAGATAAACAAAAGTTTCCCCCCATTGATTATTTTATGCTAAGCTTATTGTCTCTGATTATGATAACTTTTGTTTGTTGTGATCGATCATTTTAAGCAAACAGCATGGATATTTTTCGACACTAGTTGAATAGCAAGATTTGGTCTACTTAAATAAACAGCCTACAGGTTAGTTTACTGGTTTGTCTAAGTTGGCTTTGTTTGTTAGTTTCGTTACGAGAAATCGTATTCCATTGTTACCAGGAATTTACCAAGAATTTAAATAGCAGTTCGCGGCTGTTATACAGTGCTAATGGTGCTGTCCAAAACCGTTTTGCACAATCATAATACCTGCAATAGCATCTATTAAATCTGTAATTGTACTAAACACAATGCAATCGAGTACGCAACCATAATTTAAATCCATGTTATTGATATGAGGTTATAGGTAAAAAAGAAAAGTCTCTGCACTTGGCGGTGGGTTGCATTTTGGACCTCCTATTAACAAAATAAGTAATATGACCAAACTAATCGCTTTTACTTTTTTTCTATCTCAAATCGATGCTTGAACTATAATTTTGTCAACTATTCTGATACGTTTTACATTTTTGTAACACCGTTAAAAAAATAGGTGTGATTAAGTATATCAATTAGGGAAAAAATAATAAAAGTATCAATTTGGAAAAAATGTCAAGTATAGGGACTAATTTAGCAATTGAGCCTGTTCTTTTTCTATCATGTTAACCAACATGCAATCCATCACCTAACCTAGTACAGGGGCTGCTAGAGTACTTTTACTGGTTATAGCGATGATGGAACGAAAAGCCACTGGTATAATGGTAAATAGGAAATAACAGATATCAAAGGATCATGCACTGTAAATAAAAACTCTTATTTTCTTTAATGAGAACTCTCGTGAAATAAGAGCTTGAAAGGGTTTAGAATTCAATATTACAAACATGCAATGAAGCATTGTGTTGACTTCAATGGCGCGATGTTATGAATGATAAAGTACAAGTTAAACAAAAATGGCCTCCAGACTACTAATATCAAGTACCTCAAGCTGTTGCTTTTGACGAATCGCCTGCCGGCATGGATTTATCTGCCCTTTTCCTGTAGGAAGAACACCAAATTGTTAGCATGGAGGGCTAGCCATGCTTCACATGCATGCACAAAAATTCTTCCCATATAGCTTAATTCAATGGCGTAAAGCAAGTAAGACACAGAGCACTGTTAAAACTGAATCACATGCCTTATTTCTTATTTTGGAATAATCCATATGGTTAGTTTAAATGCAAGGAACTTACTTCTCATGTAACTTGACAAGTGACCTTGGTCTCTCGTATCCTTCTTTCTTTTCTTCAGGCTTAGGTTTCCTTCGCTGTCTAGATTCCGGTTTCCAGCATGCATTGACGAGAGACTTACCCAACAATTCGGCTATACTGACTGCCATTTCTTCTACTTTCTTCACATAAGGAAAGGTTTCCTCCCTGAACTGGTGAGATAGCCAAAGATACATAGATAAAACTTGGTGTTTTGTCTCGAGATCAAGAAGTTCCCCATCATTTTTGGCGGAACCTTTTGGCAAGCCCATCGCAATGCTAACCGGGACATTCTGACTGTAGGCCGAAGCAAACCTAAGGAGATGGTACATTGCTTTCGGGTCTCTAATATTGACTGGAGCAAAACAAAAGTTGAACCGGTCTTCCAATGATAATCCCTGGACCTTTTCCAACATATTTGCCACCTTCTTAATATGATCATGTCGGCACAAAAAGTATGAGCCATCCAAACGGCAATTTTCACCAAACTTTTCAAGCAACTGGCAGAAAGTAACATTAGGGAATTGCCCAGCAAACAATTCAACCTGCTCAAAGAAAGGAAAGAGACCCACTTTCTTAACTTCCTCAAAGGGTTGCTTTAAACACTCGATTAGATAATCGAGATCGTCTAAATGCAAGGTTGTTGTGAGTCCGTCTGGATAACGGCTTCCTCTACGACCGGCTCTTCCTGCAATTTGCTTAACCTGTGATGCTGGGACCGCAACAATCTTGTCACCGTTGTACTTTGAAAGACTGTAAAAGACAACTCGCCGAATATTAAGATTCAATCCCATTCCCACAGCATCACTGGCGACAAGCACATCAAATTCATTATCTTGATCATTAAACAAATTAGCTTGCTGTCTACGAGTCTCTGGTGGCAAGGCGCCATAAATAACACAGCAGCGATGGCTAGTGTGTTTCTCAATAGCCATTTTCACCTCAAATATCTCTCTCCTAGAGAATGCAACAACGCAGTCACCTGATCGAACATTTTTAAGATCTCCCAACAGTGTCTTGGCTTCAACCACTAATGGTTTGAACCTGTCATAATGATGTTCATGCAACTCGTCTCCAGTCTCTGAACAGATTTTTCTAACAATATTGAGAACAGTTGGATCCCCACACAAATGTATCTCATCAGCTTTCAATCCGAGCAATGCGCGCGTCCATGCATAACCTCTATATGGGTCCGACATCATCTGGATTTCATCAATCACAGCTACATCATATAATTCCTCAGTTGACACCATTTCTACAGTACATGCAACATGATTCGAGAATGGGACGAATTTCTTTTCTTGCCCCGTGAGGAGGCTGCAGTAAACTCCCTGTGCATTCACTTTGTCGAAAACTTCCATAGCCAAAAGCCTAAGTGGACTGCAATAAATTCCCTTCTTTGCTTCCATAAAACGCTGCAAAGCATTGTAAGTCTTGCCACTATTCGTTGGACCACAGTGATAATAATCTTTCGCTTCATTGCCCGAGCGAAGGGAAACCATGTATGTGGCGCAGTAAGATCTGCAGATTGAATCATACTTCTAAAATGCTTGATCTCATCGGGAAACTCTTCAATACAAAACTCGACAAATATAGGGAAAAGAAACTTAACAGCAGCATTAGATGGACCAAGTGATATCAAGTGTTCGGTAACATCAGCAGAACATTTGTCCAAGAAAAATGCACGGAACTTATGAACAGCGGTAGGGAAGAATGACCTGCCAATGTAAATAGCAAGTGACTGATTCGCGGCCCACCCTGATCTACTGAAATATTTGAAAACTTCCTGTATGGTCTCCCAATCGAATCGATTCAGTTTTACACCATTTTCATTATTACGGAGTTCCTGATACAGTTCCACCGGATCACGAAGGTAACTTGCTTACCATTCACAGTTCTATCACTATTCATATCATCAGATTCACATTCAGACTCAACTGCTCTTGAATCGCACACATCATTCTCCTTAAAATCATCAATGTCATCCTCGTCTGAATTCTCATGTTCACTATCAAAACCATTAATTTTCATAAAATCAACAATATCCCTATCGTCTTTATCATTTCCATGTCCTAACTCTACATCATTTGAACCATACACACCATTCTCATTGAAACCATCAACACCATTATGCTCATTTGCACTGTCAAAATTCACATTTTTAACTGAATTCAAAATATACTTACCGTCCATCCTTCTTTCGTTTCTTGAATCACGCATTCCATCATCCTCCCCACCACCATCATCGTCCCCATTTTCAACAACAGAGGAAAAAGGTCTAACATTAGCATCTCCACTGTCTTTAACTTTACCAACTAAACCGACCAAACCCGTCGAAAACTCTCTTCTGGGCACATCGGAAGGTGGAAGAAAAGGGTGTTTATCCGAAACCCAGTTTTCAAACTGACTAAAGGAATGAAAACATCGATTGGGTAACATAAATTTAACTCTTGAAACATTTTTCTTAGATGTATATATTCTAAAGAGAAACGTTGCCAACCCTCTTCCCATTTAATACCCACATAAGAGTAAGAACGCAACAATTTTTTTTTCTGGTTAAAGCATTAAAATTTGAAATTGCAATAAAGCTAAAGGTGTTAAATTTGGTGATAAAAAGGGGACTAAGGCAAAAAAAAAGGGGGGAAATTTAACGGATCTTAGCAGGAGAGGATTGAGATATATATCTAAAGAGAAAGACAGAGAGGGAATGGAGGGGAAGTAGCGGAGAGAGTTGAGCCAACAAAAACCCTAAACCCAGGGTTTAAATCAGAGTAATGGTATATAACTCGAGGTCGAGGGACTAGATTTTTTCTTTAAAAAAATCTCATGAAAATTAATTTGAAAATCAATTAAGCTTTGGATCAACTACATCATGTCATTAAATTTTAGATTTTCCGTCGGATACCCATTAAGACACAAATAATCTGGACTAATAAAAATTGGAAGTTGTACATTGCGGTACTTTAATATAATATAAGGTTAAAATAAGATCTTTAAAATAAAAAATAATCATTTTTTTAAATTTTATATTGATTTATTATTAAACTTTTAAACATTTGAAAATTTTATTTTTAAGTTCATTTTGGATATTAAGCCATTAAATTGTCAATGGTATAATGAGACGAGTGTTTATCTGTTTTTCTTTTTGTAAAAAAATTATCAATTCATTTGACTTTCGACCAATCATTGTTTATCTTCGGTTGTCATTTGAAACAAAATTGATATTAAAATATTAGTATTTCACTTTTTTTTTTCTTTTTCTTAAATTGATTTTTTAGAATCCACTCGAAATTAATGAAAATCCATCTAAAAATTCAACGTTTTATTATTTCTATCTCCTTTGACAATCGTCTGATAAAACTAGTTTCAAAATATATTATTCGTCTTATCAAAAGTATATTTTTCACTATTCAAAATTTCAAAGCATCATCCCAAATCTCAAAAATCCTCCCAACTTCTCACATTAACAAAATATAAAAATTAAAATCATCCTTAAAAATAAAAATATATGTAAAATATTCAAAAATAAATATATAAGTTTAGTGTTTGATCAAGAGCAGAGATAAGCAAGGTGAATGTTAAGGGTTTGTAGAGGGAATCAGTTTGCATTATATGAACTGTTGTTGAGTCTCACGAGTGCAGTGAGGTAGTTGTCTGTTATAGTTCTGTTGTAGGTTGTCAAGTATTCAGTTCCTTGTACTGCATAGTTGCTCTTGCCGTTGAGTGTCAGTTACTGGTGGCTTCAGATTGATCCAATGGTTATGAAATGTATAACTCACCCGTTCTTCATTTGAAGATATTACATGTTTTTCATAAATAAAACAATGGAGAGTACCACCTCTCTTTCCTCTAGATTTGCTCATTGCTCCTCTATTCTTCTACATGTTCTATCGTCTATATTCTAATATGGTATCATTCGTCGATGATCTTGGCGCCACTCTCTCCGCTGTAAACATCGTCTACGCCGTCGTTTTTCAATTTTCTACGACTAATTAGTTGTTCTGTGTTGGTGTTTCGTGTTATGCGAGGTCTTCATTTCTTATCCTGGATCGAATATGCTATAAGTGCGAAGTCAAAGAGTGACTCAAATATCAAGTCCAAACTATTTGTTTTTTGTTCGCCAATACTCCATCTCCCTTGTGATTTTCTATGCATCAACCTTTGGATCTACAAGGTTTCTTCAAAGGATTACCATTTTTTGGATTGTGAGAAAGTCTTTCTCGTGGTGACTCAGAGTTTGAAGAGCAGACCAGTGATTCGTGAGGTATACCCTTTTTGATCCAAGGTTGTGTCTCGTTGATGTTTTCTTTTCTTTGAGGCATTATAGCAGTTTCCTTTTGTTTGATTCTAGCCTTCAACATTTAAATTACTTGTAATAGAAGTGATTCTTAGATGATAGATATTACCTTGAATTGGTACTGTAGCTGAAGTGCCTGATTTACATAGAATATAGTCTTCAACTCCAATGGGACGTGGCTTCTCTTTTGCCTTCGGCATTGCTTTGCCAATGTCTGGCTGCGACCATTGACTGTCGGATGCGTCTACACTGTTTGAGAAACGAACCAGTCATCCCTCTTCAGCGTGTTTCGATGACAATTCCGGACACTGGTGGACCCTTTACCATGACTGTAAAGCTCAGATGCTTTCAATGAAACAAGGATTAAATTGGCACAATATTTAATGTTGAAGGCTAAATTTTCAGAATTAAGACCGAATTAAAACAATATGTACACGTTGAGGACTAAATTTATTATTATACCAATTTTTTTAGCATCAGCTCAATATTACGGTCAGAGTCTATTTTGTAACTTTTCAGACCTCGAAGTGATTAGTTTGTAACTTCCAATAACTCGATGGCCAAAAATAGAAACCATGAGATAATCCGTAGGAGTTGAATAGAAATCTGAACTTATTGTGTTGGTCCATCCATGAGTAAAATTAACAAAAACTATTCAATCAAGATCAATTCAAGTAAACATATTAAATAGGATGATATTGGAAGGGTGATTTGTCATTTTGCCTGGTTTTCATGATAAAAACAAGAGAGTTGAAGCTCATGAAACAATTTTGATTTGAGTTCCATACGAACTTTGTTTTTCTGTATGATGAACATGGATGAAAAATGATGTTGATAAAGTTGATGTGATGTTGCCTGGTTTTCGATTCCACCCAACAGATGAAGAGCTTGTCGGATTTTACCTAAAGAAGAAGACTCAGCAGAAATCATTGCCCATTGAGCTCATTAAACAAGTCGACATTTATAGATATGAACCCTGGGACCTTCCAAGTGAGTTTTCATTTTATGTTTGGCTTCCTAGAAAATTTTCCCTTTTCCTTTCTGATTTGATACAACAGTATCATCTTAAGAGTACCATACGAACTAACTAGGCCAAATCCCGGGTTCGTTTAGTTTGAGAAAAACATCTTACTTTTGACCCTATTTTTGTATGAACAGAACTAGCTGCATCAGGTGAGAAAGAGTGGTATTTCTACTGTCCGAGGGACCGAAAATACCGGAATAGTGCAAGGCCTAACAGAGTCACCGGAGCCGGGTTTTGGAAGGCGACCGGAACAGATAGGCCTATATACTCATCTGATAGAAACAAATGTATTGGCTTGAAGAAGTCCCTTGTGTTCTACAAAGGCAGAGCTGCCAAAGGGATGAAAACCGATTGGATGATGCACGAATTTCGGCTACCTTCGATGTCGGACTCAGCGCCACCGTCGAAGAAATTCTTCGACAAAACCCTTCCTGCAAATGTAATGATCCTTGAATCACGATTTTGCTGTGTTGTTTGATTATGAACTATTTAAAGAATTATTTGCCTTGTTCCCAACAGGATGCGTGGGCCATTTGTAGGATATTCAAAAAGACCAGTCCCATGGCTCAAAGAGCTCTTCCCTACACTTGGATATCCTCATTACCAGAGACTGTACCATCTGATATACTCCACCATGGTCGGTTCGGTTCAGAGAACATTTCTTGCACGACTGAAATTGGATCTACGATGCCATTAGGCAGCAACAGTGAACTGCAACAAGGCTGCACTGCCAGTTTTTCGGCTCTAGATATTCCCACGTATAAATCATTCCATCAGACAGTTTACAGGCCATCTCCATTTCATGTCTCCAATGGAGACCATCATAACAACTTGATGTTTTCTCAGCTTGACATCATGTCCGGATCATCCACCAAGTGCACTGTTGATGCCTCTTCTATGCTGTTGAGTCTGCCAAATGATTGCCGACAACGACGTTAGCAAGGGCTCAGCAAGTACCAATTTCAGAGGGCAACAACGGGAATACGTTGGCATCTCAATCGGCTTCCCCCAACATATGCAAGGTAATATAGTGGAAAGCAAAGAAGGAACGACAAAGAACTCGGATTCAATCACGGATTATAATCATTTACCGATGGGGTTTCCTTTTAGATTGTCCCCAAATGTGACGGATCCATGGTATTCACCGCAATGTCCTAGTGAAATGTCCACCACTTATTCAACTGATAACTGCTACACCTAAATCAACTGTGGACTAGTTTTGGCTTACAAAGTTGGAACTATTATCAACAGGATAACTATTTACAGTATTGTTGTACAGTTTTCAAATATTGCATGATATTTGTATGGCTTGTATAAAGATATTATATCCAAAAATTAGATTTAAGGTTCATATTTAGTATGGAGTCGGGCTTATACAAATGTGTTGTCTTCATACCATCAAACATAAGACCAACTCAAACCTTTGCAAGCCCGGCAACAGTCTACGATGGTCGAAATTTGGAACTGTGATTAGAGATCATGAAAGTTATCTTGTTGCAGCTTTGTAAGGGAAAGCTAGCAACACATGAGCAGGCCGGTTACAACCATATCACATCTCCATCAATAGGTTGTATGTATGGTTTAGGGTCCAAACAAAAACCAGGAACCGGAGATCAAACCGACAACCGACACATCTTTTTAATCCTAAAACAATAACACCAAATAGACCCTACAAAGTTACAAAACCCAGCTGGAGATTTCACGTCTTTTTGCTAAATTTGACTCGAACTGTAAAACTAACCAAATAGTTACTTATTTAGGTATACAGGTTTAGGGTTTGGAGATTCAGAATCAGGGGTCAACACATCAGGGTTCAACACATCAGGGTTCAGGAATAAAACAAAATCAAGATCATCATTAAACAATAACTTCACAATCGATACATTGTCGAGTGAACAAGCAACAAACTGATCAGTATGAAAATACCTAATAGGAAAAATATTGAAACTCAGTTCCACATTTCATCTATCACCATGATAACAAAAAAGAATTTCTCACAGGTAAAATCCAACAAACCAAACACAATTCGGCTTTCATCAGCAATAAAATTACTAGCTCTTTGAGGATTGCTTATCCTTTGCCTTCTGGATTTTGAGAACCTTCTTCACGATCTTTTGTTCTTCAACCAAGAAGGCCCGGATTATCCTTGAATAATAAAAAACAGAAAGATAAAAATAAGATTATCATCAATCGCTTTGAACAAAGAACAATCAAAATTAACAGTTAACAAAATAATGCACATAGCTGTACCTTTCTCTAACAGCACTGCCTGACAAAACACCACCATAGGCACGATTCACAGTCCTTCGGTTCCTAGGCAATCGCGACCGCTTGTATTCAGCAGGCCTCAAGTGAGGAATCTGCATAGAAGTTGTATAAGAAAACAACGAGAACAAGCTCAGAACTTTACATCTTGAGTCCGATCAACCACATGTTCAGAAAGGATCATAAAAAACCACTCGAAATGTAACATACAAATGGTATAGATTTAAAAAATAAACCCAGACATCCTATACTGGTAAAAAAAAGTTTTACATTTCTATTAGCTATACAACAAGCGTAAAAAAATCAAGCACCACAGTTTGAAAACTGCTTCAAATTGATATGCAATAAAGCATTCCACCATGAACGGATACAAAATGTCTACGATGATCAAAATTTAGCACTGGTTCCTATTTTTTCTTTTTTTTACAAACACTACAGTATTTCTAGAATTCAAACCGTTAAAAGAGACATAGTAAACTATCAGCTACAAGCCTTCAACACTCAGCTCAAAAGAATGTAGAAAGCCATTTATGACTATTATTTCACATTCTATAAAAAGAGAACTAAGCTTAACAGTATCATTAATCCATTTTTAATTCAAAACAGAAAGTTCCAAAAGCAAACACGAAAATGAACACAACAGTATCATTTTCTGCAACCAAATAAACAAAAGGGTATCTACATTTCATACTTGATTAACCTGACAATAAAAATTGAAATTTGGAACTAAAAACTCCAACTTAAATGCAAAAAAAAAGGAAAAGAACTTACACCCTGAATTCGCTTTCCAGTAACAGGGCACTTAGGCCCACTTGCTCTCTTCTTAGTAGTCTGATAAACCAATCTCCCACCTTCAAAAACAAAAGATCCATCATTATTTTTGTAAAAATTTCGGGGGGGGGGGGAACAACAGAGAAGCAGAAGCGGCATAATTTTTGGAACTTCAAGACTTACCTGGGGTCTTAACGACACGGTGTTGATTTGACTTGGTAGCATAGCTATGGCGAGTACGATAAGTGAGCCTTTGAACCATTGTCGCTTTATTTTCTCAGCTCTGCTTTCAGAAAGTAGAGCCAGAGACAGATGGCAAGGATTAAGCGGCTGAGTTTTGGAGAAAGAGAATTATAAATAGGAATTCTTTTGTATGGAAGCCCTAGATCCTACGGTTCTAATTTGGCCTTCTTTGATCGACGGTTAAAGTTATACTCCAAGTGCGAATTTATATTTAAAGATAAAAAAAATAAACGATTTTTTTAGCTAATTATACTTATACTCGAAATTGGTCTTCAAATTTTAATAAAGTTTAATTGAGTTCTGAAATTATTAATACTATTTCAATAGTGTCCTTTGCTCAATCTAATAATCCGTTTCACCGGAAACAACTCAATCTCCCTAAATCGACGATGGACTCTTCGATTTCTTCATTATTTGATCTCCATATTCCATCATCCGATGGGCATGAAACTGGACTATATTGTTTAACTCGTCACTCTCTCGTGGTCCACCGTTCGGATTGGTCCTCCGTCCACCAGAGCAATGTCATGTCATCCCATTCGTTAAGTTTTTAACGCGATGTACTAAAAATGAAACAAAAACTAAACGTTAGGTATGATTTTAGAAGAAAAATGAAAGTTTAGGTACTAAAACGGATCAACTTATAATTTAGGTACTAAACGTGTTATTTACCTTTTTATTAACACATTAAATCCAAATTGCTCATGCAATAATTGCATTTGCATAATGTACAAAATTTGATATGCAAGTTTTATATATGATAAATCTTCGTTGACATTTAACGTCTAAATTGACGATTGCATTAACATAAGAATTTGATTGAAACAATATTGAGATTAATAGTTAGAGGAGAGTTATAAACTTAGGGATCATACAAGGAAGTATTGAGTGTATATATGAATTATATCAGCAGGGGAAGAGCAAAAATGATGGTTCTACATTAATCTTCCTATGAACAAAATTAATCTTGCTCAATTTGTTGTCGCACCAAAAGAGTTGGTCTTTGGTCACTTTTGACATGCTCAACACTCTTGCCACTAATTTCAGATCCACTTGAGAGAAGAATTGAAGAACATTATCTGAATTCTCCTCATGATTCTTCTTCAATTTCTTCAATATGCAGTTCCCACTCCTTAAAATGTCTTTAAGCTTCCTGTCTTTCTGCACTTCCAACACGACGACAAGGATTACTCGTAACGAAATTCGAATCTCAGACTCGTTAGGTAATTTTTTAGTATAAATGTATGAATCAAACTAAAATAAGCTGGACCTCCATTGTTATGTGCTTGGATCAAAGCAGTTGAAAGACTAATTACCTTTTGCAGGCTGGTTTGAACCTCTGCTAGTAGTTCAAGATCTGCTGGTTCTAAAGGTTCTACTTGAGTCCCTTTCCTGGAATTCTTGATCACAACATTTGCACCTTTATCGGCTCGAACGAATCGCCAAAATATTCTTATCGATTCTTCCATGATCTCGACTAGCATATCACTCGTAATGGCATCATCATCAACCTCATGGTCCCTTGCTTTTCTTCTACCTTTCCGTTTATCCTTCATACTATCCTCTGCAACAGCAAACTCAGCTCAAAGGGGTCTAAACTAGGTACATTGTCACCGTAAGCAGGGATTTAAATTACTTTCTCGGTGAATATCTACCATAGAGAGAATCCATACCTCGAATAACTGGAACTTGAAGGAGATTACGAAGGACGCAGCGGTTCTTTACGTAGTTTTGCACCCTGGGGCCTTGGAAGGGTTCGTTTTCGATGAATCTTTGCATCAAAACTTGAAACTGTTGAAATTCAGAAGCGACTTCATTGAATCTGCGTAGGCCATAACGATCGGTTTCCCATATTTCAATGGCCTTCTCGTATTGCCAATGAAGTATTTCCCAGGAAAGGCAAAGCTGTCCTACGTAGACCATTTCCAGATCACCGTTGAGCTCATTGATGAACTTGGCCGTGGGGTCAAAATCAGACTTTTTTCGACGTCGGAGCCTCAAGTTTTGGTGCAGAAGAGATGAGGATGATTTGTGAAGTGAAATCGATTCAAGTGGATCCTTCGACTGGAGAAACCCTATATGAATTGTGATAAAATGAAACTTCAAATACAATTTAATAATAAAAAATGAACACATAAATCATAACTCCCAAATGTTATGCCATTCATAACTTTAAAAAATATATAGAATATTCCTATTAATATCTTAATTTAAAGAAATAATAAATATTTTAATTCAAAATATTAAAAAATGTACGATACTCTCATTATCAACTCGATTAAGGGCTTGATAATGATAGAGTCTAAATTGCAATCAAATTACCGTGCGACTTATCAATGTTAGGAGATAACTCATTGTAAGCACTTTATATCTTATATGATCTTGGATTGTATTCTCCTCTTCCAAAATCCTTCTTGAATCTCATCATAAAGTAAAAAGATAGAAATATGGATTACTCTATAATAATATTATCTTAAAAATAAACATTTGATTATTTAAAGGTTTAACGCAAACCAAAGGATACACCAACACTACTCATCATCAAATTAATAACATGGGGATTATATTTTATTGGGTAAATTACATGATTGATCACTTTTGTTTTTAAGTTTGTATACTTTTTTCACTAAATTTAAAAAAACATAATATTTGATTATTTTTGTTTTTATTTAATTAAGATTTGGTCACTTTGGTTCTTATTTAATTAAGATTTGGTTATAAAGGGTTAACTATCGTTATACCTTCAACAGATTGTTGATATGGCACAATGAATTTATAAAATTAAAAATGATATACTACACAAATGGTCACTAATGTTTGAGTAAAATTTTGTTTTCCCCACTAAAGTTTCAAAAGTGACAAATTGGTCACTAAAACATCAAATAGGTCCTTGAACAATGATTTTACATCAAGTTTATTCCAAAAGCTTTCTAATTTTTTCTTTATCATTCAAAATATTCGATTGATTTATGTCCAAAAAAGCTAATTTCTAAGTTTTATTTTTAGAATTTAATAAGTATATATATAAATTGGAAAATTATAAATCTTTTGGAATAAATTAGATATAAAACCATTTTTCAATGACCTATTTGATATTTTAGTGACCAATTTGTTGCTTTTGAAACTTTAGTGGGAAAATAAAAATTTACTCAAACATTAGTGATCATTTGTTTAATTTACCCTTTTTAATTTTATAAATTTAATGTGCTATGTCATCAATCTATTAAAGGTCTACGTTAGTTAACCCTCAGTGATCAAATATTATGCTTTTTGAATTCAAGGAAGAAAAATATATAAAATTTAAACGAAAGTCATCAATCCTAGAGTTTACCCCCCTTTTTTTTTTTGTAAAATTGCTTTCCAAGCTGTCTTGTTTGTGGATTTAAATTTTAAAGGGTCTTTACATAAAAAAAAACACTAGCTTTTAGGAAGCCTTTCTTGTGGAGCATTAAAACCGGTGCAGATTTGGTTTATTAATGTGAATTCGGTAGTAAATGAGAGTTAGGTAAGCTTTCCTGTAATAATCTCACTTCTTTAATGAAATTGTGGAAGGTAGCCTGAAATATACGACTTTGGCTCGACCCACCAAAGACATACATGGCACTTTCAACTAACACAATTGCTATCTCACCCTATTCTTTATTTATGTATCACACATATATTCAGTATTCACTCGAGTCAACATCAATCCACCTTTTTATTATATATATTTTTAAATCCGTCTTGTTTTAAATTTTCAAAGATATTTTGATTTTTACTCTAATTTTGATCATCCATAAACTGTGAGAGGAGTTATTGGGGCAATTAACTTTTATAAAAATTTTAAATTATCATATATTTTAAATATTTTTTATATTTTTTATTGATAATTTTTTTTTGTTCATTTTACCTTTGTCTCTAGTCTCGACCATATATTGATGTTTTGAGATTCTAATAAAATTAAGAAATTATAACTAAAAGATACAAGTAGTTACAAAATTAAGAGAGAGGTATTTTAGTGTGTAGGGCGGCACTTAGGGGTCGGCGGGGCTAGTCACTGATATGGTAAAATTATTGTCTTAGTTCCTAAGAATGTAAAACTTTTAATTGATAAAGTAGTAAAATTATCCTTTGATCCCCCAGTTTGATAAAAATGTTATTTTAATTCTAGAATTGTAAAGTTTTTAGTAAATAAATCTACTCTATCTACTTGAAATTTTATAATTTAATCTCAACCCTCACTAATGGTTTTGTATTTTTTTTTGTTGCTATCCCAATATGTTTAAAAAAACTGAAGAGCATATGAAGTAGCATGTAAACCCTAAATAAAGCATTGAATCAGAAATGCTAAAATTGAATGAAAAGAAAAGAGAAAACTGACCTATTGCATACATCTTCTGGTAATTCAATATATCAAATTTCCTCATTCTTTCTCTGTAACTCTTATAAAACTTGTGAAGCTCACTCATTGTATCAGCATGTTGGAACTTTTCATCAATCTTCCATGGCTTCAAATCATCCATTATTTTTGGAGACTCTGATTCTTCCATTATCGTTGGCAAACCCGTTGCTCTAACCTTCTTCAGCTCCATTTTCAGCTGTTCTATCAGATGCTGATGTTCCCACAAAGTCTCTAACTCGTTTGAAATTGAATCCTTCACACTTTCCTGCTTGGAATTTTCCAGTGTATCTCTATCTTCATCATCAAAACCAACAGTTTCTTCTATTTGTTCTTCATTCTCTGTCGTTTCTTCAACGATAACAGCTTCACTTTTCACGTTTTGTTCCGAGAAATCTTGTTTTGGAAACAACCCATCGCTGGGATCAGCGTATAATTCATTGACACAAAAGCTGGAATCCTTCGGATTCTCCATTACGAAGCCGAAATCATTCCCTGGATTAAACTCATACGTATTTGTTATGCTTATTGAAGGATCAGATTCCAGGCCAATAGCATAATGATTCTCATCATCTCTAAACTTGTTGCTGAATTCTTCAAAAGTTTGAGTTTGAAACTGAAACTTGAAAACAAACTTTGGTGACTCAGGTTTTTCTTCAAACATTTCTTCTTCTCCTTCTTCTTCTTCACCCTTCAATTCAATAGCATCAGGCTTAGCTTCATCTGTTTTCTCTTCAATTGGATTGTTTGATTGTGAAAGCTTATTATATCTTTGGTTCCTGAAAAATCATTAAAAGAATACATAAAAAAATACAAAACATGATTTCCATTGTTTAAAACACAAAGTAAAAATTGGGTTTTACCTGCAGAAAACTTTGCTTAAGAAAGCAAACAGAGCAGATATGAAGACCGAGAAAAATCCACAAAGAGTGAACATCTTTTGAAAGAGAAATGCATTAAAACAACTCGTATTCATCGTATTAAAAATGGGTATTCACCAAAAACTTCTCTCTATTTACACATCGATATAAACCATCAATATGTTCTTTTCTTTTTTTCACGTTGAAGCAAAAGAAAACAGAGTAGTGCAAGTCCATTGGAACTCTGATTTTAACTTTAAAATATTTTGATTCAAAGTATACTGTTCACCTATAAAAAAAATGCAACCCAAACCCAAAAAGCATGATGGAATCAACGATTTTTTAATCAAAATTGAAATCTAACCTAATTAAGTGAGATCTAACGTGATGAGAATCCATGAAAAGAACATGTCAGCCATGAAAAAAACATGTCAGCTACTAAGGATTTAATTTCTCATTTGGAGTTAATCTATGGTTGCTTAAAACCTTGAAATTCTGTGGACCGTTATTATATGAGAGGTTTAGAGAAAGAAGAAGAAGATGATCTTGATTTAGTCGAAAGGTCGGTTTTTGCCCTTGTATTTACTATGCAAAGCTTGTGTGAGGAAGAAAGACAATGACGATCCAAAAATATATATAGATAATATGACTAAATTATGAAAGACTTAAAATGATCAATTACATAATAAAAACCAAGTATACGATTAACATATAATACAAAAACTAATGATGTAATTTGATTGAACTAATTTTATTGCTATGATTTAGATTATAATTGAAATTTTAAAATGTATACACACTAAATCCATAACTATAGTATATGGACTAATAAAAGAATTTGACTAAAGAAAGTAGGGTTAACTTGAATGTTTAGGTGTTTTTAATTATTTCATTAAAATTACATTTAATTAAACTTTTTTTAGGGTTCTACTCGGGGGTTTAGGTTAGGAAGATCATAATTAGTTGTGATAAAAATTGACCAAGTAATTCGGAAATTAAGGCCAGTTAGCAAACAATCCTAAGAGAGAACAGCCGATCGTCTTATGTCACAAAGATTATGTGAATACTATAATTCAACTAAAGCTACGAGTTTTTTTTAATAGTTTAGAGTAATTATAAGATGATATAAGTTTATAGTTTTTTTAGTTATTAATAATGTACACATATTCTGTAGATATAACTATTTGAATTTAAGATCTTTAAAGATAACAACACTCTTTTTCCCACTAAGGACTCTCACTTTGAGCTAGTATGTGGAACTACCATAGTGTAAGCGACATTCTCCTAGGTTCACATGAGAGATAGGTGTACAAGCATTGGTACTAAGTGAATGATACAATATCTCTCTAAGAAGAAAACCTAGGATGATTTGAAACTTTGGGGTCCCTTATTGCGCTCTTGGTTGAAAAGTGAGATTAGACTCTAGTTTTCGTTAGGCCCAGCGGGATCTCCTATCCAAGAGTATTTGTGTTTATTGAGATCATGTTGTGACTTTTGTACTAACGCATAACTTGTCTGTTAGTACAGATTATCGAGGAAACAACTGGGTTACCAGGTGTATGCCTTATAAAATATTGCATGCAAGGAATGACGAAGGATTTCATGTCAGTAGGGTTAACTTCTAATATTTTAGGATGGGACAAACTTATAAAATTCTAGGGGGAATGATTGTTAATAAAAAAAATTAAAATATATGATAGTTTGAAAATTCCAGGAGGACGACTGCTATGCTCTACTTTGATTCATCCATAATTACATAATTTCATGATTGAAACATACCATTAAGGGGAAGGTTGACTTGTCTAAGAAAAATCCCTTTTAAATGACGTACGACATAACGATTGAGCGGACATGTTATATTTATGACGTGATATAATTATTTTTATGTTTTTACGTTTTTATTTATTTTGAGTTGTTTTTGTTTGATTTTCCCTTTTCGTTTATTTTTCTCAAATTTATTTTAGTTTCTTATCATGAGTATGTTACTAAAAATATCATGTGTGTACTCTCATATTTATCGGCCTAGGATTGGATTTATGTAACTTCGATCCATCTTTAATGGTTCATTTATCTGATTACAAACAAGAGTTTATATATATTAAAATTTTTAAAAATGATTTCAATCCATCGTTATATATGTTATTTATTTAAATAATAATTAAATGCCAATGATACTGAATTAATTCTGCTTATAAATTTTAATCCAATTAATTACTATCTGTATAAATTGAGATTTAACAAAAAGCACAACTATTGCACCTATAAAGTAAGCCGTAGTACAATGATATGCAAGAATTGCATGAATTTGTTAGATTAAACATACATAAAGTTAAGATATAATATAATATTCTTTCTACAATAAAAAAATCACATGAACAGACATTTAGTTTAAATATTGTCAGTAAAAATAGACGGAAAATTTTATTTTAGACGTGTAAATTTTTAATAAATTATACTAAAAAATTTAAAAACATGGAATTATAAAATTAAAGAAAATATGAAAGTAGACCATTAATATAAAATAAAAAAAAATACTTCAATTATTTGAAAATTTAAAAATTTCTAGAGGTGCGATCCGTCCCAACATTCGTCTATCCATCCTTAATTGTTGGCTCAATATTTTTTAAAATTAATATCAAAATTTCATTATGAGAGGATATTATTATTATTAAATTATTCTATAATATTTGGTTAGATCAGGATTATCTTGAAAATGAAATAGAACTTACTATAGCAGTATCACTTTCATGCCGATTGACTTGGAAAACCACCCATAAATTAAATTATTAAAAAATTATATAAAAGACAAGGAAAATATAATTTTTAATAGTTGCAATTTGAATCAAAAGAATGTTAATTAATCTATTATATAAAAATCATATGTCGGACGAATTTGAGGTTATTTTCAAATGTAAATCGTGGGAAAAAAATATATGAACATTTATATTGAATTATATTTAAAAATAAAAAAAAATTAAAAATATCAACATTAGAATATTGATTTGGCTTGGCAAGAAAATATTATTGCATGTTTACGTGTGATATTTGAGGCTTGAGTTTCCTTAATTTATTGAATAAAATGTTTAAAAGTCTAAATGGAATTTACGTGTGGATTTTATGAAAGAAGCACTTCATTGCAACTTGCAAGCAATATAAATTAATAAGATTTTGTTTCTAATACATTCATAATATCATTTTTATAATTCCAATTAACAGATTATTATTACAAGTTATTTTAGTTATTTTTTATTATATACTTACGTCTGTTCTATTAGATAATATTTTTAGATTTTTGAATCAATTATTTAGTCCTAGTTTTTAAATTTTATTTTGGGAATTTATTTTATCAACATGACTTTATTTTATAATTTTTTGTTATTATTTGATAAAATATTAAAGGATTATTTAATAAATATTTTTAAAAGAGATAATTTAATTAAATAAAGACAATTAATAATATGACATTTTAAATTTATTTTCAGTATTTGAGATATAAATACTTATTTTTATATTATAAGATAAAATTTAATTTGAATAATTACGATTTGAAAACTTCTAAACCATCTACCATCTAACTACTACAAATCATTTTAATTTTTGATTTATTTATTTATTTTACTCACCCTAATTTTATATTGCATGTGCATGCGATAAGTTCTATATATAAAACAACTATTTTCTTATTTATATCAATTACAGAATTAAGTATACAATAACACTAAAAGCTTTTATCATGATTATATACCTTTAGAGAACACCAACTTTAGTTGATAAAATTATAATGTCTTATAGTTTCATAAAATCAAAATTATAAATATACAATTAAGTTTTAAGATTTGATCTATTTTATGATTTTTTATATTTATCATTAATATAAATAATAATATTTTGTATGTACTTTTTTTTGTTTAAAGTTATTTTTATATAAATATATATAAAAATATTTATTTGAATACACATCAAAAGGGTTACTTCAAGTGGTACACAATTTGATATCACTTAAACAAATTTTAAATTTAAGTTTTATATATATAAAAAATTTATGTCGAAAAACTTACTCATAAAAAGTAGATGAATGATCTCAATCGATTTGGATTAATATGATACGACTACCAAAAGAAACAGGATCACGCGTAATAGAACTCAAAGTTGGCCACATTTGTGTGTCGGATGATGGGGAAAAGTCCCACACGCTTTGTAAAAAGAGAAAATTATAAAAAGTGTGAGTTACTACGTGTAGTTGAACAGAAAGTCAATAATATATGGAAAATGTAAGAAAAATTAATTTGGAAGTTTCTTGGTGTTTTGTACTTTTAACTTTTCAAATTTTCTGAAAAGAAATACTACAATTTGAGGGTTATGCACTGACCCACCAATGTTGACCTTTGCTAGGGGGGAAATTGAAAGCAGAAACTTTGGGCCTTTGGGGTCAAATCGTGTACCCTTGTAGACCTTTGCCACTGGGTCAAAAAGATAATGTGGTATACTTAGTTATATTATTTTTTTTCACCCAGGACTGGTTAACCTGCCCCTATTGGACACAAAAAAGAGTATAAGCAGCATCTCTAAGAATACCCTCGATGCCTCCATAACTATCGTCTAATTTCATTGCACCATCCACATATAAACCTCAAGCTGAATAAGGCATAGCAGAGTGCCATCAGTGGCGGATGTAGCCTTTGTTCAATGTTTACCCTAAAATTTTTGGACTTCAATGATAAAAAGAGAAACTTAAAAAAAAAGTTGTTTTTTGCGTAAAGTTTTGGCAAGGCTTACAAAAAAGACGTTTATTGATGAAGTAGAGACAATTGTTGTTGGTATTGCATCAATTATCAAAGCAATTGCCTATTAACATAAGTTTAGGGGGCCACACCATTCTAATTTGGGTTTAAAGCAGCTAAAGCTTAGCTGTTCATTCCATTTAAGACCAAACACTGGTTTTGAAACAGATTATCATCATTTTAGGGTTTTTCCTTGGCTTAGTAGTAATAATATGTATTACCAATTTACCAGTAAGGGAAAAAACAATTAATGCAAGTAAGAAATGAAAACAATAATACATGGTGAGCTATAATGTTATCAAGTCCATAAGAAAGTGTTTCATATAAACCTTAGGGTTAGGGCTTTGGCATTGGCACTAACCTTATCCAACTAAAACCATTGCCTCTCTTTTTTTATGTTTTCGGGTTTTGCTGTTGCATTAACATAGGCAGTGCAGACAATGAGGAAGCGGCAAGTAGTAGTGAGAAGGGAGGAGCCAGCAAGAAGCACTACCACAATAAGGAGTGTGAGATATGGGGAGTGCCAAAGGAATCACGCCGCCAGCACCGGAGGTTATGTCGTCGATGGTTGCCGGGAATTCATGGCCAGCGGAGACGAAGGAACCAGCGCTGCACTCACTTGTGCTGCCTGTGGGTGCCATAGGAATTTCCATAGGAAGGAAATTGAAGCCGAGGTAGTCTCTGAGTGTTCTTCACCTCATAATTCTTCCAATACAACATAACTATATATATATAGTTTTGTTTAACTTTTATTACAGCTCAAGTTTATATAATTGGAAGGTTTTAATTATATGATATAGTATTGTAGCGGTAATATTGGAAGCTGGCTTTCAGTTTTCATTACGAAAACATCCTCCCTATCAATAACTTGTATTATGCATGTTGTTAGTGAAGGAATTAATGATGCTTAATGTTAGGTTTATGTTTTCTATTGAAGTGCAAGACCTATATATATGAAATAACCCTTTGTTTCTTGAGCTGTAAATCCCCATTGGAACCTTATTGAAATTGTGTTTGAATTTTACCATGATGATTGTATAAGGGGGAATGAATGATGATGATAATTCATTGATCCCTGCACCAAACAATTAGCAACCTTATCTTCTGACACTAAAGGCAGAAATCAATGGAATATTTCCTAAATGTGGAAGTTTAATCTGAATGGTAATGATATAAGTTTGTATTTAAGTTGAGAGGCCCACATACTTCAGCTCAGTAATGGAATAGTTTTCTGCTGTGGTCTACTCCCTGCTGGCTGTTATGATTGGAAAATTTGTGAGGCATGCACTTAGTACTTGATTAAAACGCAATTATATAAAGTTTAAACCCCACCACATCTTTTGGTCCATATTTTTGGAATTTGAACCTCATATTTCTTTAACATTGCCTCTTAAGTTTCTCCATATAAATCAATTAGATTGAACCGTACCCTCTCTTTTTTTTTTTTTTTTTTATGGGAGGGTAGGGCATGTGCCCTAGAAATGGAAGAAAAAAACACAACATAGGCACGTTCATAAGCATAGCCTAGCTTGTTCTTATTCCAACACATTGATCAAACTCTTATGGTCAGCAACAAAGCTGACTCCTGTTAGTGTCGACTCAGAAAAATATCCCAATGGTTTTGAGCTGAAAAATGTTTTTTCTTTTAGGACCTAGCTTGTATTTTAACGTTGGTAAAACCTATTTTTGTTGTATCATCAAAGTCAAGTCCCTTTTTTTTACTAGGGATGGAAAGCTTTTCTTTAAGACCTATCTTGTATTCTTGTTCATTTTTGTTACCCAATTTCATCAATTATTTGAGCTCAAACAATATCTTCTATATATGTTTTAATTATTGACATCATCATCTTCTCTATGGAGTTCCACATGAAGATATTAAATAAGTCCAAGCAGATCCCAACTAAACCTATGGATAAGTTTATTTGTGCCAAGATTTCATTTTAAATATTAATGATGTATGATTCCAATGTTTGCTTTCATTCCCAGGGACGAAATTAGAATAGGACGTTGAGACCAAATTAAGTAGCATTTAAATTAAAATATTTAATGAGATTAAGGTTTAATTTGAACAATATTTAAACTCTGAGACTGGAATTTGAATTAGACCCTCCCACCTATTTATCTTCGTCCTTGTTTATTCTTATTCCCTCCGGTTAAGCTAAGGTGATTATAAACCAATATATTTTGATGTTATTTTTCTTTTTATCAAATTAAACCAACTTTATTAAAATTAAGAATTAATATAAAAATAAGTGTTCAAACTATATCTTTTTTTTCTCTAAAGTGACGCCTAAGCTTTTTTTTCGATCAATTCAACTGTCTAATCTTACAAACGTTACTACTTTAGGTGCCTTAGCCATAATGACTGTTAAAAAAGCCCATTAAATGGCACATGTCACCTTCAGATAATTTTAAAATTTTCATTTAAAAAAAACTTAAAAACATTATCAAATTTAAGAAAATCCTAATTTCTCTTAAATTACAAAAAGCTTCAAATCACTAACCTTAACCCTAACTCTAATCCTAGCACTAACCCTAACCTTACATTCCTTGTCGGGCACGACCACCACCTCTAACATCATCCTTGCCATCTCCCCGGTTAGTCATTTTCATCTTTGTCGTCGATTGGCCGTCATGGAAGTTCGGTGACGGTAAAGGGTGACGCATGACGTGGATTTAGGGATTGAAATAAAAAATTTCAAAGTTTTAGGATTTTTTAACATTTCAGAAAATTTTTGGAGTTTTTTAAAAATGAATTATATTTTAAGTTTTTTATTTTAAATAAAAAATTTCAAAGTTACAATAATGTGACACGTGTCATTTAACAGAATTTTTTAATGACCGTTACGGCCAAGACATCTAAAGTAGTAATGTTTATAACGTTAGACACCTGAATTGACCCAAAAAAATTTAGATACCATTTAAAAAAACGACATAATTTGTACACTTATTTTTATATTTAATCTAAAAATAATAATAAACTCGTTAAGATCATTAAACCATATCAATTGCAGGGAATTGGTCGAAGACAATCAATTTGGGCCTTTTCATTTGAATATATTGTGGTTTGAAAGTCCAACAACTTGGATGGATTTAACCTAAAAGAATATTCCACCTTGCTTTCAAAGGTTTTAAATCTTTCAAAAATCCAAAGACGTTATTCCTTTTAGATTTTCCCTGTAGACCTTGACGAATTTTTTGTCAAGACAGAACTCAATCTGTCCGAAATCTTTAAGTAAAACTCAGGTGGCGTTTGGTTCGTTAGAATATTTATGAGAGAATTGGAATCTGTAAGAATTGTAATATGTAAGAATTGGAATCCAATTTCATATTCTATTTGGTTGGCAGGAAATGAAATTGGAATCTAATTTCATATTATATTTGGTTGGCAGGAAATGGAATTGGAATCCAATTTTATATTATGTTTTGTAAGCAGACATATCAGATGAATTTGATTTCAGTAATGTAAAATAACATAATTGTCCTTCTTATTTTTTTGCTTTATTTTAGTTTATTTTACAACTTACATGTAGTAATATATTATAAAAAAAATAAAAAATATTAAAATTTTATTTTATTGATTGATTATTCATTTCAATAAATTATAAAAATCATGCTAATAAACATTATAAGTTAAAATCATCGCAATCAAAATATGTTAATAAGTTACCAAAAGATAGAGCAATATTTCGATACATTCCAATCGGAGTATGTTAATTAGTTACCAAAAAATATACCAAAAACTATTTTTATTCAATATATGAATTAGAAAATCGACACGACACGACTCAAAAATAATAAAAAAAAATATTTTTATTCAATAAAAACATTGACTTAATTGAAAAAAATTATATATAGAGGGGTATTATTGTAATTATTCCTAAATATATAAGGTAAATTTATATGTTTTTTTCGGGTCGGTCCGGTTTTTTTCACCCTAAACCCGAACCCGACCCGACCCGAATATCACACTTAAAAAAACCTGACCTGACTCGACCCGAATATCACACATAAAAAACCCGACCCGAACAAAATAAAGTTTCATCCGACCCGACCCGAATATATGAATTAGAAATCCAACCCGACTCGACTCGAAATAATAAAAAAATATTTTTATTTAATAAAAACAGTGACTTAATCCGACCCGAGCCGAATTATATATATTTTCGGGTCGGTCCGGTTTTTTTCACCCTAAACCCGAACCCGATACTGACCCGACCCGACCCGAATATCACACTTAAAAAAAACCCGACCGACTCGACCCGAATATCACACTTAAAAAACCCGACCCAACTCGAACAAAATAAAGTTTCATCCAACCCGACCCGAATATATGAATTAGAAATCCAACCCGACCCGACCCGAAATAATAAAAAATATTTTTATTTAATAAAAACAGTGACTTAATCCGACCCGACCTGAATTATATATATTTTCGGGTCGGTCCGGTTTTTTTCACCCTAAACCCAAACCCGACCCGAATATCACACTTAAAAAACCCGATCCGACCCGACCCGAATATATGAATTAGAAACCCGACCCGACCCGAAATAATAAAAAAAATATTTTTATTCAATATATGAATAAGTTACCAAAGGATTGATGAGGGTAGTATGATCAAATTTCAATTTCCTCCAACATGAGAATTGAATTCCATCCATTTTTGGATGGAATTCACTTTCCCTCATTTGATGGAATTGAATTCCATCAGGGATTCCAATTCCCTTGAAAAACTTGAACCAAACATGGGAAAGTGGTGGAATTAGATTCCAATTCCCACCAATTCCAAGAGATTCCATCCAACCAAACGCCACCTCAGAGTTTATCTGTTTAACAACTGCATTTGTATTTGATCCGACCGATTTGATTCTTAGATTCAATTTAAAATTTTGAATATTATATTCGTGTTTTGATTTTTGGATAATTCGGATCAGATATCTAAAATAATAATAACCGGATAAATACAAATCAAATAAATTCTAATTTCGAATTATTCAAAAATTCGAAAAAATAATTTTTTTCCAATTTTAGATTATTTGGTTTTCATGCCTTGAAATTGCATTAAAAACTTATTTTAGAATTGTTCTTATAATTTTTTATATAGTAGAAGTATAGCATATATCGTATAAAATCATAAAATATTAATTTTAAATTTAATATTTTTGTTAACTTAAAGTTTATATTTGGATTCAAGTATCCGAATATTCGATCCGAAATTTCAGATATATGATTTTTTTTCATATCAGATACATATCACAATTTTAGTGATCCGAATTTCTGGATATCTAATTTTTCGGATAAGATCTGATATCCGAAAATGCACACCCCTATCTACCTCTACCTCATCACTACTAGTTATTACTATGTCATCCACATACATCATTAGCAAGTGTTATACCTGTTTCGAATGAACAATGATGAATCTGTTAGACAAAATGTTAATTTGAGATAAAAATAATAATAATGAACATGTATTATTATTTATCGAACGAAGCAAAATAAATACAAAATTGAAGTAGAGGAACGAAATGATTTACTCGTATATGCAAACATGAAATCGGATGAGCGAAGTAATAAATAAAAGAGAAAATTTTGTTAAAGCATGTATGAACAATTTCCTTAAGATAAATTTGTCCTCTCCTCGGTGCTTTGTGTAACACCCCCAACCCGTACCCGACCCAGATACGAGTCCGAGATGTCACATTGACTTTTTAAAACAATATTCTTATAAAATAACAGAACATTTGGACTTATATTAAAAAAATACGATAATATATTGTTGAATTATGTTTCGTTATAACAAATTTAAGGCAAAATGTTTTTATGAATAGTATTATACTGTATGAATAATACCTATATTGTGTGAATAGTACCAATACTGTGTGAACAGTAATGAACAGTACCAATGCTCACAAACATCGAATGTAAAATGTGTT